AAAAGGTAGGTAATCCCAGGCAGTTGAAGAGTGGTGTTGACCCAGGCTTGAACCCATAGCCATCCAGCTCAGACAGTCCTCAGGCACCAGTTCCCTGGTGGAGTCACACAGGATGTCCACTTGTCACTCTTTTTATGGCCACTACATATGCAGCCAGCAGAAGAATCCTACTCCGTTGGGCCCCTGAGGAAGGCCCTTAACCCCAACTGCTCCAGGGGCGCTGTACAATGGCAGACCCTGCACTCTGACCCCAGGCTCTCTCCCTGTCTGTGTGTCTCATGGAGAGCAAGCTGGGGTATGCGAAAAGAGAATTCCTAATGCAAGAAATTGTGAAGGGTTAATAAAGTGACGTTATTATAAATAAAAAAAGGTATCCTGTCAATGGATATTAACCATCTTGAGTTACTGTGGGGAAAGACTGTTAACAGTCAGTGACTAATATCTTTTGTTTCCATAAGTGCATATTATGGTAGAATATCATCAGGCTCTGGTGATTTCTGCATTTATTGTTATTAATACCTGTGACACCTTGCTCTTTTCCATGCTAATACAGTTTAATATCAAACTTCATCTTCGCCCAGCCTAAGGAATTTTTTTCAATTTCTTCCTTGGTTAACACGTGAGTATTATATTACCCTTTACCTTTCATGGTCTAAAGGTTTCCATTACTATCTCGCAGAAACTTAATTGTTTACAGCTCTTTTAGAAATGGTAAATTCCAGCTGCCATAATGGAAAGAAAAACATTTATTTTAGCTTTCATTGCAATATTCACTTCTCTTTCCTTGTCTTTTTCTACCTGTGTTTGCAATTTATTGTACTGTACTTCATTTGTTTAAATAGATCCTACTTTTCTAAAATGGTTTTAGTTTTCCTGCTCCTTTTAGTTTGCTTTGTGATTTATTAAGCCATTTCAACCAGTGTTTCTGCCTTGGATTTAATTAGTGTAGGAATTAATATTTTGCCTTTAAAGCAGAATCTTTAAACTGTTGCCATTTGTTCCTTGTGGATTTCATATCTATCTCCGTATTCTACATGTCTTAAGGTCTGCATTCTCGAAGAACGCTTGTGGACTCCAGCCATAGAGTTTCAAAATATACTTTAAAACATATCATGTGCTTACAATATCGGTTCTGTATTAGTCCTCTAATTTCTCTTTTTGTTACTCTATCTTAATTAAAAACCAAATCTTCTTTTATGATTCATAGTGCTATATCTCCACCTCTTCCATCTTTACTGTCTGTCCAGAATACTGAATATCCATTAATGCCATTTTCCTCACTAGCTCTCTGTTAGCCATGTTTCTACACTACTTCAGATTTTCAGGCTGATAGAATAGGTTCTAATTCTTAAATTGTGTTCCTTATTCTCCTGGCATTTAGGTTCAGCCACTAACTTTCTTGTCCCTTGATGGTTTGGTTTACAACTGTGTTCCCTTGTGGACTCTACTGTACATATTGACACTGTCAGAACAGTCAACATGTTCTAATCAGAGTTACAAACTTTTGTCATTTTGTTACATGTTTTATAGTTTTTATTATTTGTCATAAGGTTATTAATTAAATGCATCTAATGATCTCATAAACAACATTACAGGTTGAAATGTTACATCATAATTGGAATTTGTGAACTATCCTGTTTCATAGTGAAGTGTAGAGTCCCAAAAAAAGTTTCATTGCAGGTTAATTGTATTTCCAGCTTTTAGTTTGAAATGACCGCTCCTTTTAAAAGGTCAAATGCAAATTTAATATTACTAATCAGGGTGATATTTTCCATCTCAGGGATGGGAAAGTAAACACGGATTTCTATGTAAATTGAAAGCAGCATATTGATCATACATTTTGATTAGTAAGATGAAAATTGAAAAGCAATATGGTGTATCCTTCAGGACAATGTACTGTAGGACAGCAGGCATGACCAGTATGTGACCCTCTGCTTTTGCCTGAGGAATTCACTGCAGTGCACAGCCCTGGGTAAAAGCCCTAAAACACAGCACTTTATTTAACACATTTGCGGTGAAGGCCATCTGAATATTTAGCAGCTTATTGTGGAAATGTTAGCTTTCCTAAAAAGGAATAACCAACTCTTCCTTCAACATTGAGTGTATATAGTGGTTTTCAATATAATATTTTATGTGAACCTTTCCTTAAAAGAGATTTATGTTTGTCTTCATAGATTCAAGCATTTTAAGGTACATGTTTTGCAAAAGAAAAGGCGTTAATGTGAGATTTTATCTTAACGCCTCTATATGTAACTAATTTGTGACTTTGCAGTAGCTACAGTATAGCTTTCAGAGATTGTTGTCCTGTTGCCTTGTTCCATAAATCATTTGACCATTTTACCAGATGAAAAAAAAAACTTACCAGCCTGCTAACGGAAAGTCTAGGTATTCCCCACCCTGGCATCTTTCTCCCGAGCTCTAATTAGCAAGTACAATTAGACGGAGGAGAACAAATTTGAAACACGAAGGTACTATCCGAAGCGAATACAAGCTTGTAATTAGTTCAGAACAAAGGTATCTCTTTTCCATTTTTATGGTGTTGTTTAATTTGTTAACACTTACAATAAATATTCATTTGAGCTTCCATAGTTTTTACCACGCTGGAATAACACGGACTAAACACGCGAAATGCATGCGTGGAAATGCTTGTGGCGAAGCTCGACTATTTAATCAAGGCTAAACTACATTGGTGAAACAACATCGGGAGAGACGTTTCTCGTCAGTTCGCCGTCGGCATTGATGCATTTCCTCACAATCTGCCTCACCGACAAACGCACTAGCTAAAAACTTAGGAGATGCGACCACTTATTGTGTGGAGGTTATTCCTAGACAAATAATGAACCAATAAGCTCTCTCGGTTTTACAAATCGAAACAGTCTGAGGGGACTTCAAATTGGGCTTCGCTTGTATGAAGTCCTAGTTAGCAATCAGAGTCCACACTTATTTAAGTCCATTAGCAGCACATTGTTATTTTTAACTAGTGAAACGGCCGTGTACGCGTATCCTACCAGTAACATATTTCAGGGCTCAAAGGATGTTTTAAAAGAACGCAGTCATAGACATCGTATAGGCGAACTGGAATTGAAAGTCTTCTAAGACGGTTCTGCTTCAAAGCTTTCTGTAACTGCAAGAGATGATTAATATTCGTTCCCATAATTCATAGTATCTGCACGCTCATAACACACCGTGACACTGAAAGGTGTTCCTTGTTAGTCTAGTATGACATTGCTTAAGTCAAGAGACCTAGAGAATTCTACAAACTAAATATGGTTTGTTTTTTTTTATATATTTCAAAATGATATTTTAATTTTACCTAGGTTTCGCTACACACCAGGAACTTTTATTGCGGAGATCCGATTGTAACTTCTGTATGTTTGACATTTATGTCTTTTCAAGGCCAGTATTTCAGTTGCGACACTCTTAAACCAATTCCTTGTTGATTTTTAAACCTTTTCATATTCGAAGTTGGAAAAATAATGCCGTTATGCATAGACAGTTGCTAAACCCGATGATGAAGTCCTGTGAGGCCGACAGCCTCCTTCTCGCCCACTCTCCTCCTCAGCTTCCAGGGAGCTGTCCGGCGCTGTGGTGCTGAAACTTGGAGTGACCGGCGCATCCTTGACGCGCCTCACATTTTCCGTTAGTGTGATGTGGCAACTGACTTTAAATTCGTTTTATTCCATCAGTAAAATCAATTTAAAAAGTCCACAATTTTCTAATCAACATAGTATGTAAGTATTGTAAAAATGAAGGCACAATTATTTAAGATCCCTTAAATTTGTTCACGCAGAACCTGGGTTGCATCCAATAGCTTATTCTTCATGAACTGAAAGCTTTGAAGCGTTAGTCATTTTTAAGAAAATGAAAGAATACGATATAGTACATCGGACTGAGTACAATGCTCTGAATAATTCATTATTGGATTATATGTAGCACAGCGTATGACGGATGTATTGTTTTCTTGCTAGTTTTGCTGCTCACATTTTTTTCTCAAATGTCATCACAGCCATCTAGTGGAATAGCCGTCATTAACGGCGCGTGACACCGCTGCGTACAGTTTGTTGTTAAAACGTTTCAAAGCTTGCCTTCATGCACAATTTTAGTCCTGCGTTTGGCGCTCTGTTAAGAAGGCCTTTCACTTTAAGTTAAATTTGAGAACTTTTAGATGATATTATATTATATATGCTATCAAAGTAGAGCCTGCTACTAAACCTTCAGAGATTTATTCTAGGTTGTACATATAAGATCTATTAAGCCGTCAGCCGGCCATTAAAAAGAAATATGTTTGCAGACACTTAAAAGACTTGCTCTTTGAGAGTACAACAGCCTTCTATATTCGCATCGGATTCTCTCCGTAACTCAACCTGAATCGATTTCTTTCTATATCGTAATAATTATGATAAACAATTTGTGGCTGCAGGCGTCCGGCGGTCCCATTCCCGAGACAATTTCTCGTAAAGAATCAGGGTTTGAGAATTTCTGACCAAAATAAGAAGCATAACAGTCTTGCTGAAGATAGTCACAGTAAGAAGCAGTTTCTGCTCATGTATAATTACTGTATATTTGAGACAATTGAGGGTTTTATCTGTAATTATTAGCTGGCCATTGATAGACAATTAGTAAAGTGCCATGCTTTCTTTATTTGGACAGTGGGCTTCTTTGTTAATTGTTTAAAATAAATGTCTATTGTTTAAAATATGTATATTCATAGTTTATCTTTGTAATGCACTTGTTGATCACTAATGACATACTGCTCATAAAATCCCTATTTGCTGATGTTGTTGTCACCTTCTATATGTGAAGCATTTACTTGTAATTATTTTTACAGTTTTACAACCGATAACCTTTCCGCCAATTTTAATCAGGTTGTATAATGTACCCGTACAGCTTTAAGAATTACTGCCTTGTAAAAGTTTAATGAATAAATCAGTGGATAGGATCCCTCCGCCTAATTGATATCCCCTTTGCAAGCCTGGGCACTCCCCCTTTTTCTCTTTTAGAACGCATCTCCTTCCGCCGCAGCTGGGAGGCCCGCAGAGTCGAGCGAGCGAGCAGCCGCGAGAGAAGGCAGTGGCTGTCGACAGCGGGCGTTTGCAGAATCTCCAGAAAGGCACTTTCCTGCGACCTGAATCGGGAGTGATTTCTTTTCGAACCCGGGAGTATAGTTCCCTGGATTGCTGATCCCCCAGCCCCTGATGTGAGAGAGTGGCAAAGAGTCCTGGCACCTCAAACAAAAGAGATGGGAGCCTTTGGAGCGATAATAGGGATTTTACATTACATGGGACTCTACATCCAACTTAGCGCTTCTTCCAGGCAAGCTGGACACGCCGAGGTAGAGAACCACATCACTGGAAACGGTAAGTGCGATTTACTCTAAAGCAGACAACTCGTAGCTTGGAAACAATCATTGCGCAAAAAGAGCTCCAGATGTTGAATGAAACCAAAGGAGGTGACGATCCTAGCGGGGCGGGCGACTGGTGTTATACTGTACCTAATCTTCACAAGGCGTTAAGCCTTGAGGTGAGGTGATGGATAGTGCTGAATTAACACCTGAGCGTAAATAAATAAAAATGCCGCCGAGATATGTAAATACTGTAGTTTTACAAATGTATGACTCACCTTGTCACATTACTCCAGCAGCTGTTGGCTTGGAGCTACGGCGTCCTACTGTCAACGATTAATTCCGGACATAACTGTTATTTGTGTAATAATATTAATTATGACAAAACCTCTAGCACGGAGAAGTACAGGAGTGTAGAAACTGACCTTTCCGCTTCATCTAAGGTCTCCAAAATGTATTGAATTTTTTAAAACATCTAACAATACTATAATCATGCATCTTAAAAAAAACAGTTGTTGAGAGTATATTAGCCAGTTTCATGCCAGTGGTAAAAAATTCGGAGACAACTGTGCAATAAAATCAAATAACATTGCAGATATTGGCGGGGCTGTCATTTATGATGAGACTAAAATGTATTTTTTTTTCCTTCTCATCCGACTTTTTTGCAGATTGAGATGGTCTTTAAGTTTTATTTTTCTGTTTTCTCTAAAAATCTTCAGCTAATTTCATGAGTTCTCGATTTATGATTATGGTGTGAAAAGCGTGTGGCGGAGGCATTGTAATTAGAGCATAATGTTGTTGTATTCAAGATACATTTGAGTGTTTCCATTCGTATTGAATTTAATTTGTTAAAGTGGCGGATTTAGCGAATTCCGTTGCTTTAAATTGAGGAATGCACTAATAAAAAGGAATATTATATTTGTTTTCCCCTGGGGCGAAGTGTCAATAAACCCAGACTGAAGAGTGGATTCTCAGAAAATCCAAGATGAGTGTTTTCAGGAGACCAGGACACATATTGTGCGGTAACCTTAAAGCGCTACATTTTTATCAATATGAACTGGGATCTTGCTCTGACGCGTGGATACATTTAAACACCGAGATTGGAGACGAAGGTTCAGATACCACCGTAGGCAATTAACCATGCTGTGTCCCCATTCCCCTTTAAAAATCTATTTTATTTGAACGCCGCATGATGCAGCTGTTCTCTCTTTTCACATACTGTTTGTGGGATTGTTTTTTATCGGCGCTTTTATGTCCGAGTTTGAACTGCAGTTTGAATATGAGACTCTAAACTATCTGGGAATGATGAAGGACCGGCGGGTAAATCAAAGTATAAAAATTTGCCCTGGGGCATCTGAACCTGAAAAGTGAAACAATTAACATGATTAACAAGTAATATGAAAAGACGTTTTTGGAGAATCCAGTCCCAGACCCAGCAGCAAGAACGTCCAGACTCTACAAGCACCGAGCTACGTTTTCTATGTAACGATCTGTACTTTACTGAGGTAAATTAATACTGTAGAAGAAAACGACTGCAGCGCTACTGAATTTTGTGTTTAACGAGACTGCCAGAGGTCAACACCTGCAGGAAATGTGCATTGTTTATTGAATGACTTAGCTCATTTACCGCTGCAGAGCGTGAACTGCACTGTCGAGCTTCGTTGTCTTGTGGGAGTAGTGGGGGTTAGGTTCGACTCAATTAACTGTATAGAAGTCAGGTTCAAGGTCTTCTCCATAAACGAAAAGGTCCGATTCGAAGACAGTTGAGTTTATGCAAATACATAGAAAGTTAATGTACTATTTACGCACTTGAACACTTTAGGGAAGTCCTGCTTTTTAGCGCCGTCATGCACTGGAATATCATACGAAGACTTACCACCTCCTGTAATTTATAACCCAATAACTCAAACATTTTTTTTCTAAGAGTTGTGCTCTACATATTTTGCGAGTAGGACTGTATATGTTGTGAAGCACCTAAATTATATTTAGTTCAGGTGGGTAGCTGCGTTGGCATGCGTCGTCTGTAAAGGAACAATAGGTTTATTCCATCCTGAAAAGAGAAGAGAACACAACGTTTCGGTGGGGAGCCTTCTTCAGGTGTGAGAAAGACAGGGCAGATAGCAAAGATTAAATAGCACAGAAGAACAAAAGCTCGGAGAGGGGAGGAGGCAGGAGGGGCAGAGAGGCCACTCAGGAAGTGCGAAGTGCAGAAGGGTGAAGAAAGTCAAAACCTGCAAGAGAATAGAGAAGATTACACGTAAACTATATATAGGTAAATTATATTTAGCTTTGAAAGAGTTTTGTACTCTAAAATGGCAAGTTCTTTACTTTTTCTATAATGTCATTCTTGCACAAAGGGTTAATGTGGTACTGCCAATTTGTCCATTGCAAAGTCATGGGAAAAACTGTATATGCATCTGATGTGCATTTTTACTGAGAAAAAAATGTGTCCAAAACTACTCCTGCTGTTAAGTAAAGAGTTAATCACCACAGCTCGCCAACCATTTCATACCTGTCAAAATGATGCACGCTCTGGTAGTTGTAAGCTGGGGTTATGAGTGTAGGAAGCAGAATATCTTGGTTTCACCTCTGCTAGGGAATAATGCACAGAGCAAGTTGGCATCTCCTTGCAGGCAGTGCAGCACTTTTTGAGATGCCCCTGTGTGCTAATCGCAGATGGCAGAAAGCAAAGGGGAAAAATGAACCAGTAACTCAGAAATGGAAAAAATCAATTAATCTTTCAGTCCAGCTGTGAGCATTTAATGCAGTGATGGTAAAAGAAGCAAAGGGATATGTTCTTTTGTTTTCATCTAGGTTACACAATAAGTGATGTGGAGGGGAATGGATTAGCCATTAATGCCTGATATCAAAATGAAAAAAGGATTTTTATTTTTATTTGTTTAAAGGTTGTGCATATTGTTTTGATTTTTATTTGTCATGTTGCCTGAGTTGTTTTTCCATCACTATGAATAAATGGGTATGAACAAATCAAGATTGAACTGGTTATTGCTTCTTTCTAAACTGTCACTCTGTTCGTGTAGCTCTTCCAGGGCTTGGAAACCAGAGCTATAGATACTGATTATGTCTAGTGTCACTTACAATAGGTTTGATGTTTTAATAACATCAATTTAATTGTTTTTCTAAGAGATGTCGTTAATATATACTATAACAGCGCTGCTATACGAATATGCAGTTTTGCTGAAAGGCATAGTTAAGTTGTAAATATTGTATTATTTAAAATGTGCAACTTTTATTGATTTTTTTCTTTAGTGTTTTTCCCAGTGGATTACAAGTAGAAGAAATATAGCCAAACCCACAGTAGTTTCTGTACTTAGTCTCAGTGACAAAAAGGTTAATACCCTTTTCTGGGTATGTATCTCGTAGTGTCAGCACTGAAAGAGAAACAGTAGTAGTTAGCAGGATAAGATCTATTTCAAAACCCTTTGTGATGATGGAGAAAAACCTTCAGGATGATCTAACCTGCCTTTCAAAATGCCATCTCTAAACACCTGCCTTCCCTCTGGTGTAACTGTATCTGTGCTGTGAAGAGTCACAGGGTAGTCAGTTTGAGTCAAGGGATTATTGATACTTTCACACTGTGCTGTAACTGAGAGTGTAAGACTGGCTGTGGGCAGCAGGCTGTAGCCCACCTACAGTACCTGGTGACACCTGCCTGCCATCTCCAACAAGACTCCAGATGGTACAGAATCGGTTGGTGTAAAAAAGCACAACCTGAGCATCTTACTTCTGACAATGTTGTGCAGACCATGCTAATGAGCTTGTCTAAACTCTGTTCACGGGAGCTCTGTTTTCTCTTTTGTCTCTTATGGCTGATAGTGCTTGTTCATGTTTGATGCATTTGATACTATGAGGCACAAAGTAATTCTCAACATCCTGATACTACTGTAAATGCCAGCCACCACAGATAATGATAATCTTTTAATTAGGTTTCTCTGGATATTGCTAAGAGCAAGACTGGCAAACCTTTGAAAGGATCAAGTCTAAAAAACAAACTGTATGAGGGTGTCCATGTCTTCCTATGTTTCGAATTTTACATATGGCTTTTTTTGAAAAAGAGGATTGAGGTTACCGGTGTCTTTAGAAATGAGATCAACGTGAGAGACATGGGTGTTTGGTAATCAGAGAAGGTTCTGTCCATTCCCTGCACTCCCCATAATAGGACTTCTTTAAAGTCTCCAGAAAATGCAGTTTTTACAAAAAAAACAACACTTTGCATTATGGTGCAATTCCCTATTGTCTGCTTAAATAACAATATCACCTCATATTATAAGACCTATAATGAAGTGCTGGTGAATATTAATTAAATCCTTCTATTCAACAGTTCACTTTATTTTCTTTCATACCAGTTTACCAACATGAACAGTTTATATTCACTTTTATATCACATAAAGTGTGTGCTGTTAACTGAAGCAACAGATCTGCATTCAGTGTCAGGCTAAAATCCTCAGAGTAGGGTACTTGCACCTGCTTTTAATTGCAGATGAATTATATGGCTATTCTAGAGAGTCTAATGTTTTGCTCTGATTTCATTTTGCTTGTGACTTGAGCTGGATTTAATTGAAGGTCTCCAGAGACAACAGAGAAGAGTGGGAATGAGGATTAGTTGTCTGAACCACCCACAATCAAGTCATTCCCCTGTCCATACAGTACATGTTCAAAGTGGTTTCTGTTAAAAGTCACTCTGAAAATCTGCAACACTTCAAGAGCAATTTAATCCAGCAATAAATACTTTTGAAAAGCAATGGCTTACCTTAAAGTTATGTAGTATTTGTATTTTTTATTATACTTCATATACAGTAATCAGTCAAGCTTTTATTTGCTATAGTGACCTTCACAACAGTTTTCGGTAGAGTACTTTTAAGAATTACAGTAGTATAGCAGTTAACAACATAGTAACAGCTGACAGTGGGCACAGGGGAGAGGAAAAGAAAAACTCCCAGTGGGTGAAAATAAATCTCCAGGTGTCTCAGGCCTAATGGTTGCTCCCCTTCAGAT